TTGGTTTTGTTGATGTTTTACTTTTCAATTACTTGTTGAGTATTTATAAAATAAGTTCCCCCACCACCTTATCTGAGTTTGCCAAATGCTCTTTCTATGTGATCTGTTGTAAAATTCCCAAGCAGTACATACATTTGAGAATTGTCTAACAAATGCTTACTTAGTTCAACTAAAACATTACAAGTTTAATATAATGAATTACTTGTATCCATGGTTATACTTCCAATTCTTTTTCCTTGAATCAATGTTGGCTTAAAGATTTCAAAAAACTCAATTAAATCATTTAATCGTAAATCATCAACGGATGGGATCTCGTAAGTTGTCTTTCAAATGGATCCCTCCAGATGGAATTTTAACGTTGACTATTTTCCAAAATTGAACAACCTTAGTTAAAAAATATTAAATCTATCAATATCATCAGTTTTCATACCTTGATGACACTTTAATGCATTTATAGTCTCTTCACAAAAAACTTTTAAACACGTATGAACTTTTTGTCTCTCAATTATCCTTGGGTTAACAGCAACATAAGTCAATTTTGACATTTTAATAGGTACGTGCGTATCCAATGAGTTACGGCACCGATTATGTAATCAAAATCTTCGACCATTTTATCAAAGCGTGCTTAGCGTTTGAGTTGTAAGAATGTATTTTGTTGTGTTATTTTTTAGAATTTTATATCATCATAGACTTTTTTTGAAAAGTGGAAGAGTTAAACTTCATTTTTGGATAGTTTTTTTTTTTTTTGTAGTTACAACCGCTTTTATTGAATTTACTTTTCTTAAAAACTTCGTAGTTGATCACACGTCAAATTAATATTGAAGGAATGCTGAGAACATTTTTAAAACTATTGAGAAAAATTTAAAAATTTATTTTCTACGTGCATCCCAAATTTTATCGAAAAAGATTATCTAGCAGACACCTAATTTTTTGTAGCAGAATATGTACCTTAGTTAAAATATTGTAAATAAAGCAAAATATTGCGCTTCTAGCAACAAAGTTCCATAACAGAACTACCCTTAGCCGAAATTGACATTTTAAAACTGGTCGCAGATTTTTTAAACAATCCTTGTAATCAAACTTTGTTACTTAAATGAGCATAACTTTTTGTAGAATTGTTATTTTGTTATGAAGTTTTCACTATTGTAATGCTGATTTTAGCCTTTTTTCAATGATATATAATAATCAATAATAAAAATAGTTAAAATTTTTTACACACGTGCCTAATTTTAACCAATTCACCTTCTACTAACTTTTGAAGCCAATTAAAAATTCCACGTTGTTCTACGTTTTATGGTTTAAACAAACTGTTAACCTATATTTAAAATAACCCTTAAATTTTTTTCAGCTTATTCTTATTCCTTAAAAAGATATTTTAACTTAATGAATGTAAAGTTTTGCTAAAAACAAATACAACGTCCGCTCCGAAAGTAGTTATCGGAAGTGTTTGTAAAAATACACATTGATACAATTAAAAATTATTACAAAAATTTACTTTGCGTATAGTCTTGAATAGTCACTTTAAGTTCTAACCTAATGACATTTGGTTATAAAGTATTTTAGTTTGTATATAGAATTGAGAAATTTGAATCTTTTCTAAGGAATACGCGAGTTTAAAGCAAATAAACAACAAACTTGGTAAAGTTTAAATTTATTAAAACTTCTTTTTTAATTCCCGATGATAAATTAAATGAATTGTTAAATGAAACGAACTGATAAATTAAATGAATTGATAAATCAAATGAATTGATTAATCTAATGAATTGATAAATTAAATGAATTGATAAATTTATTGATTGCTAGAGATATTTAAATCCAAAGTTTTTGTTCAAAAACAATCTCATTTTCCAAATGATCAAAATTCTTTGGAAGTTCTAGACAGCCACAACGATCCAAAATGCAAGGTACCACGAAACAAAAGCCACAAAAGACAGCCACAACTGATCTGAAATACAATGTACCACGAAACAAAAACATTATGACATAACACTATGAGAGATCAGGAGCCGTATTCTCTTCTCTCCGTTAAGATTAACGCAGTGTTATTCGAAAATTTCTTTTAACTACATAATTAAATTTATGTAGTATTAATAATGTGTATTAATTAATTATGTGTATTAATTAATTATGTGTATTAATAAAATTAAAAATTTCATTAACTGCCTAAATAAAAATTTTAAAATATGTTTCAAAAATAAATGTTTTATTTTAATATAAGTTTTATTTAAATGAAATTGAATCAAGTTTTTGTCATTTCTTTGCTTAGAAATATTGTAATAAAATTTTAGACAAAAGCTTCGTTTAGCTTAAAAAAAAAAGTAAATACGGCTGCAGATTAAGTATCTTTTTATGAGGTCAGATTCTTATAGATTAAACCTTTTTTTTGCAAGCATAAGAAATATCAAGGGAAACCATTGCCTATTGATGTACTAAAGTTGTTATTATTTTGAAATATGTAAAAATATATTAAATGCGGTAGTGGTAAAATCACAGAAGCTGG